GTGTGGGCTTCTTAATCATGTCAATTCTCCACTTATCGGTCTCAGCTTCCTTCACCTTCTTCTTAACCGATAATTCGTTTTGGTTTGGCCCCCTGCTGCTTTCTAAGTATTTACCAGTCAATTTTTTGGTTCGCTCCCTCCATTTTGTATCGACATTCTTCGTGTACGAGTAGCTCAATGCCTTCCTAACCCAACGCTCCTCGCCCATTTCTCTCAATCGCTTCTGAAATTTTATCTTGCTGCTAGCTTCCCTGCCCTCAAATAATGTCCATCCCATATCACCTTGTACTCCCTGATTTGGTGAATTCCCGTGAGCTCCTAAGGCTAGCCTACCTATTCCACGTTGCTTAAATTTCTAATCTTGCTTGAACTTCTGATCTCATGCACAAGACCGCATTTCCGAACGTCAGACCAGGAACCATGACTCCTTTCCATATTCCTCTGACAACATCATACCTATTGTAATTCCACAGTGTCCTGTTTTTCATTACCGCTGCATTCCTGTTACCGTTAGTCGTCACGTATATTTCGTGTTGCCTTAGGTACTCGGCCCCATTGCTTATCCATACGCCCAGATATTTGTATTTATCTGTTATCTCTAGCGTGACCACCTGTATTCTAAGTTCACTACCTTCATTGTCATTAAAAATTAAGACTGCTGATTTTTCCTTATTGGATTATCTCCCTCATTACCGCAGATGTCCACCAATATCTGCAATCTTCCTTGTTGTCGGCCATTAGCACTATATCATCTGCGTACATCAATGCTGGTAGTGCCTGTTCAATGAGTTTTCCTTGTTAGACGAAAGAAAAGTTGAAGCCCAGTCCACTTCCCTCACTTCCCTGCACTTTCTTATAGGGGCGCCTTCGTCGGGGCCAAGTTTCAATTTTAAAATGATCAAATACTACATCTTTGCGTACCGTTACACATAAAAAACAACTTGTTTTTCTGGCGAATAGTTTTTTTCCTAAACAAGTGCTGTGTCATCAGTTTTTTATAATAGTTTTTGCTCTAGCTGAGGTGAGCAGCAGCCTATTGCCATCATTATCCTCATTTCAAAGTTCGCGGTGGCCAACGGTTGCGACGGCAGGTAACGGCTCGTGGTACGTTCGGATGTGTCTCGGACTGTTTTGTTTTGCTGTAAATGTTTAGAGCCTCTGCCGACCAACATGCTGTTTCTCGTTCTGTTTATTTTGACTCGTTTAAATGCTTTCGCGAAGGGAATTCAAGTGACTTCCGGGGAACGAAGCGACCATTGAAGCTTTCATCGGATGAACACCCGTTGCAAGCTCGGGGCGGTGAGTAAAAACCACTTCAGTTTTTTTTAAGACGTTTGCTTGCGGGGCTAGTTGGTTTATTTCAACATATGTAGTTTTTTTTGTCAATGCGTAAGCGTCACACGGCGGCAGAACTGCAATAATAAATTTTAAAATCGTTTGACGTCTCACTCTGCAAACGGAAAAACGGTGCGTTACTTGCGGCTTGCCTTCACGTGGGAACGAGTCGCTGACTCAATAGTTAATTCTGAAATTCTATCGCCAGATAACACTAACTAGGCCGTTGCGATGAAAGAAGCCAAATAAATCACTGTCACCTTGCATGTGTCTTCGTAGCTAGCCCATATATTAGTGCTGAAAACCTACGAGTTGATAGTTTACCGAAGTCGCGTTTGAGAAACATCACAGAATTATGGGTGTGGTTTTGCTATAGTGTGACAAAGAAAGCGTCACATAAATCACAAATACTTCTTTCTCTGCCACAGCCTCCTGACCCACCTGACATGAAAGCAGCTGTGTACAATGGGCAAGGAACCTGCTACATGACATGCCTCGTGAAGAAGCAGCCCTGAGTGATACACGTGTTATGAGGTACCACTACATATATGTATAAAATGCTGTTGTTTACTAGTTAACTGATTTTATTTGTTTACTTCGGAAAATTTTATGCATTGATTATGCATTGATTTCATGCATTGACATCTGGTGATGTTACTTGCTTTTCCAGACTGCTATGCAACAACAGGATGACTACCCCCGAATGTCCACTCTGCAAGCACGTTGAAACATCTGAACGTCCACTCCAACAGGTCATCTTGAACCTCACACATGCAATGCTGTATTTGTGAATGTTTTGCCACGCATATCGTGGAGGGATGCTTTAGATTAGCCACAAGCATAAAATCTACACTTCAATAACCTTGAAACTGTAACACCATTAGTTAGATTGTGGGGCACTGCTGAGCTGAACAACACAGGTTTGATCCCAGCCACAGTGGCCATATTTTGATGGGGGTGAAATGCTAAGACGCTTGTGTGCTTAAGAGTTTGTTCAATTCGCCTGCACAGCATGATCCACTTTACAAAAGGCTGCACCTCGCCATTCGTTTCAGTGGTGCAGCAATAGTATACTCTAAACCATGCCATTCATTTCAAAAAACGCAGGAGAGGTACAGCACTAAACCTAGTGTATGATTTTCCAGTACCTGCTACTCTGACGGCGCTGGTTTGGTGCAGCTGCACGCACAGCTTAACAAACAGCATAGCATTAGACGTAAGTGCCGTACGCGCCTGTACAGACGCGGCGTGTTTTGCCAAGATTGCACCTCTTTAAATTAAGCGAACAAGAATAAAGATTCCACCTTGTCATTCACTTGTGATGCTGCACTGCTGAAGTCGGGCTGCACAAGTTCTGAACTCCTTGTGCACAGCTGTGAACCAGTTCCCATCGGTGCAGGTAAACTAAACTGACCCTTAAAAGATGGAAGCTTGAAAATATAAAAAATCTGTCAACATGTGGTGTCAGAGCAAATGTTTCGAAGGCAGTCTTTTCTCCTTCGAGGCTACAATGTCATTTGTTTTAACCCCTAGAAGCCAGAATCAATCTAAATTAGCCCACTACTGTACGACTCACGATCACTTCATAGTTGGCATGTGAATCGTCAGAAATTATTAATTGCATTACAATATGAACACCCCCCCTCAGTGCAGGAATTACCAACATTGAGTTGTGCCTTGTGAGACAATTTACAATTTATACTCAGAATTGTTTTGTCTTAATTAACTGTGTTAGGTCATACAAGTTTACAAAAATATACACCAAAGCTTATAAGGCTGCACTTAATTGCTTTAGCTTTGCACACATGCTCAATAGGCTCCTAAAATAATAAATCATAAAGGTGTTGAGTGCCTGCAGCACCACTTCATCCAAGTTGGAATGCTGTCGTGAGGAACAAGATTGTGTTCATTGGATGTGGTACTGTTATTTTTTTCATATAGCAGAGAAAGGTCCCAGATTTCTTTGAGCACATCTGCTTTGGTTTAAATTAAGTTGTTATAGCTATAGTGTCTACGACTACCAAGTGAAATCCTGTGCACTACAGTCATTCAAAAAATCTAGGAAATTGCACAGGTAGTTGAAACATACATGATCTTGACTTATCCTCAGCCACACTGCAAGATAGTACGTATTTCAAGTCCTAACCTCTAAAAGTAGCAGGGAGAAAACAACTTCAGCTTTCAAGCACAAGTATACTGAAAGAGTAAACACAATAGCAAGTTTATAATAAATGAGACCTTTATTGATCCAGTATTTAGACAGATTCACACCATGTACCCCCAATTGATTTCAGGAGTACTTGCTCGCAAGAGAGTGCTCAAGTTCTATCGATATGTCATCTATGCAAAAATGAGGTTGTGCTCAGAGCTGAGCAGATAGTGTACTTTAAGAGCACCAACAAAGATGTACAAACAACAAAATTGTACAATGCATGCCTAAAGCCTATTTTCTTAGAATTGGGCCTTTTCGATCTGTAAGCACCCACCTAATAACTGTTTCTTTAGCATACATGTTCGCTGCAGGCCGGTCATTACCCGCGACGAGAAACTAGCTGTAGTAACTGTGTAACTTAACTCCAACAATAAATGTAGCAAGCCTGGAATATTTTTAGGCCCATCACCTAAATACATATTACCTTTGATATGGGCTCACGGCTGAGAGTTAAAACTAGTGCCTACCCTTTCGACACGACGCGACATTGCACAATTGTGGAGTACTCAATGTAGCATTGCAGAGCGAAAAAATTTCAGAAGTGCACGCATCCGCAATTGCTTATTTGACAAATTAAAAAAAACTACATTGCTCTCACTGCGCGAGCTATTTATCGGCAATGTGCAAGTTTCCTTTCCGATTCCACATCATGCATTCACTTCACTTGAAGATCAACACTACAGGGCAAGAGCCGCATCTGATGGCAGAATCCGACCCTTTTCTTGAAGCCACGCTATTAAACTCGAACGCCGCAACACAATGACAGCGACGCTCATTCAGCGATCTCGATGTTCAGTTATATGCATATGCTTGTTAGCTTTCCAAGAGTCTTTACACATGGGTTGAAAGCTTTCGATATGTATGAGAGACTTGTTTTGTAAGGACCCGACCATATACATTGGTTGCACCGGCTTGGACACTCGCAATAAACGATGCAAACCTAACTTGATTGGCGTTGTTTTTTGTTTTTTTTTTTGCCAGTCGAGGCCAAGTAGGTCACCTGGCGATAATTACAGACGCAAAGCGTGATTTAACAATGAAAAAAAAAATACCAGAGGAAGCGAGCAGCGCGAACCAGCCACACCCCCCCCCCCCACCTGCAACAAAAAAAAACACGTCTGTTTATTGATGATGGTAGTACTACCCGCGCCATCTGGCCTCGCGGTATTGCAGTTTGGTACGTCGCCGCTACCTACTTGCATGTTATTTTGATACAATTCTGCTTCAAACACCCAGAGTAGATTTACTAACCTCTCTCGGCACTCGCGCTATTGCACTTTCTTATAGGGGCGCCCTCGTTGGGGCCAAGTTTCAGTTTTAAAATGATTAAATACAACAATTTTGCGTACCGCTACACATAAAAAAACAACTTGTTCTTCTAGCGAATAGTTTTTTTAAAACAAATGCTGCGTCATCAGTTTTTTGTAATAGTTTTTGCTCCAGCTGACTCTAGGTGAGCAGCAGCCTATTGCCATCATTATCCTCATTTCAACATTTACGGCGGCCAACCAGTGGCGCGGTGGTGGAGCAGTTGGCGGTGGTTGGCGGCGGCCGCAAGCGGCGCTTATGAGTTCCCGGGAGTGCACAGCGATGCCCCTGTCGCGCACGCGGTCCCTGATCGCCAACATGAATGGCTCGGCGCCTTCGTTGGCGGCCGGCAACATCGAGAAAAACGCCGCCAACAACAACAACTCTTCGGCGCTGGGTGGAAACGGTGGGGGCAGCGGGTCCAGTCCGCTGCCGCCCATCAAGAGCCAGACCATCGCGGGCTTGAAGTTCCAGTCGAGCGTGCACAAGCTGATCGACATGGACCAGAACGGCGACTCGCCCGACAACAAAGCGGTCGCCGTTGTCGGAAGCGGCGGTGGTGGCGCGGGGAAAATATTGGTGGCCACGCCGGAGCAGGTGATGAAGATGTACATGCACAAGCTGAGCCCGTACGAGCAAGAAGAGATATTTAACTATCCACAGATCTACTTCTTAGGCGCCAACGCCAAGAAGCGCCAGGGAGCGCCAGGAACCCCGAACAACTGCGGCTACGACGACGATCAAGGTTCGTACCTCCACGTTACGCACGATCACATCGCGTACCGCTTCGAGATGCTCAAGGTGATAGGCAAGGGCTCCTTCGGCCAGGTCGTCAAAGCGTACGACCACAAGCAGCACCAATACGTGGCCCTCAAGATGATTCGCAACGAGAAGCGATTCTACCGGCAGGCGCAGGAGGAGATTCGCATACTGGACTTCCTGCGTCGCGAGGACCGCGACAACACGTTCAACCTGATCCACATGCTGGAACACTTCACCTTCCGCAACCACACGTGCATCACTTTCGAGCTGTTGTCAATCAACCTGTACGAGCTGATCAAGAAGAACAAGTTCCAGGGCTTCTCCTTGCGGCTGGTGCGCAAATTCACCCACTCGCTCCTGCAGTGCCTGGACGCGCTGCACCGCAGGCACGTCATACACTGCGACCTGAAACCCGAGAACGTGCTGCTCAAACAGCACGGTCGATCGAGCATCAAGGTCATAGACTTCGGTTCGTCGTGTTTCGAACACCAACCCGTCTACAGCTACCTCCAGTCGCGCTTTTACCGAGCGCCGGAGGTGATACTGGGTGCAAAGTACGGCATGCCCATCGACATGTGGAGTCTCGGCTGCATCCTAGCCGAACTACTCACGGGGCGCCCACTCCTGCCCGGCGAGGACGAGGCCGATCAGCTGGCCTGCATCATGGAGTTGCTAGGCCCGCCGCCTCAGAAGTTACTCGACCACGCCAAGCGGGCCAAGAACTTCATCAGCTCCAAGGGCTACCCGCGCTACTGCACCGTCACTACGCTACCCGACGGCGCCGTAGTTCTAGGCGCGGGACGGTCTAGACGCGGAAAGCTGCGCGGTCCTCCGGGCTCCAAGGACTGGTCAAGCGCCCCCAAAGGTTGCGACGACCCAATGTTCGTGGACTTCCTCAAGCGGTGCTTGGAGTGGGACCCCGCGACCCGCATGACTCCGGCGGCGGCGCTGCGGCACGCCTGGCTCCAACGTCGGCTACCGCGTACGCCCCACCTCAAACTCTCCGTCACCGGACAGGAAAATAACTGAAAATGAAAGTGGTGCCTAGCCTGCTCCACCGTGCAGCAATCGCAGGTATAAAACCAATTAAAATAAATGAAAAGGGGTATAATAGTACCCAAAGTGCAAAATTTTCTTTTAATAACACCAATTGGAAAAATAATGGTTTGGCACGGTAAACGGTAACGTATTTGTGTCCGAAGGCGTTGGCTCAGCGAGCACAGGATGGTCTCGCGTAGACCATTTATTGAAAGAAATCAGAGAACAGGGAAACTTGTGATGAGGCTGTAGAAATGTGCCCAGGAGAAGATGTGCCTTGTCGGTTGTGACTTGATGTGGTTTGCTTTAATTTTTTTCTTGTAGTTGAAGTACTCCGGTATCTGTAAAACTGAATGGTAATCGTTAGGCACAGGTAGCATAAATCTGGAAAATAAAAATATATTCCAGATCACATGCTGTAAGAGCACGAGCGAGCCGCAACATTCGGCCCGTCCGGTCATCCGCTCAGCGGCGTCGAATTCTTTTATTTGCTGAAACCAGTATAATTTTCACCACATAATGTCATGAATAAACTTTAGTCATAGATGAAAAAGGGAAAATGAAAATGTAAAAAAAGAAAAAGGGGGAAAACGTTAAACAAATTCATTATACTCTTAATTGAGCAAAATAAAGGAAAGATAGCAAAGAAAGAGGCGAAATTCCATTATGATAATGAATGTGTACATCTGAATCACCATCGATCCACTGCCTTTTTTCTAATATGTTCAATTGTCCATTCTATGTATTTGTTATGATGAGATGTTACGAGATAGTATTCTGTAAAGTTTCATTTTTTTATAATTTTGATAAGACATTTTTTTTTCTACGGTTCAGATCTCAAGTATGAGAGTAGTTTTTGGAAGTTTGAAAGGGTAGCCTTAGTACAAATAGTTGTATACTGTATGAAGGCTTGCCATCCTTGGAGAGCGTATGTGTGTATACAAGGCCATATCTCACGGCCTGCTTTTGTTCCCATAGAGTCTTTTTTTAACAGTGTTAAGTGTTACATTTAGCACTTTGTATGTTGTGCGTTAAATTGCAGAAACCTAATGAAAAAGTGCGTGATGTAAAATATTCTTTTTATTGTCAACCGTTCTGCCGTCGCACGGATAGAGCCAGCCACGGCTCTTTGGCCCGCTTATGTTCTGTTTCATTACAGAATAACATTGAGTTGGGCCTGTCCTAGTCGCTGGACATGGGCCGCCACGCCCTAAATGGTTGGTTGAAATTATTTATTATTGTTAGTATTTTTTAAGACTCATAATGATGTTTGCTCTTGTTTCCTTAATATTTTGAAAAGCCGCTTTCCAAGTCGCTGGGAAAAGTGAGCCACGACTGTTAGGCCCGGTAGTTAAGTTTTCCTCATTCGAGGTAACTTATAGGCCCGTCCAAGAAGCTAGACTGGAGTCACCACACCCTTGGCGGCTTGTACATTATCAGACTGAACTCTCAATTTAAATTGAGATCATAATCCGTCCGAATTTAATGGTGGTCTAATGTAATTCGCTAACAACTCATCGATTGTTTTTTTTTTCATTTTAATCAGCACTGCTCTGTTTTTTTGTACTGCTAATAGATCAGGAAATTCTTCTGTTGGAATGGGCGAAGGATCTCCTGGTCTAGTTACTGTGGCTACGAGTGGTGCAGTAGTGCAACATTCATTAAAATAATGTAGAATTGTATTACATTCCTGACCACATGGACAGTATGAATGTAATGCCAAATTAAAGCGGTGTAAGTAAAAAGGAAAACGTCCATGTCCAGTTAAAATATGTATTAAAGACTTAAGTGATGGGAAGTACACTGGTATCTTGTCGATATTTGGAACCCAATTAAATAAAGTGGTACCGGAATGATTTTGTTGCCAATCTTTATTCCAAAAAAGCGTACATGTAGTTATAAATTTTGTTCTAATCGTTTTAACTGAAAGTTTAGAATACCTGATAAGGCCATATTTTGAGGCTGAGGTAGCGGCTGCGTCTGCCAAATCATTACCGTAGAGATTGCTGTGTCCACGTACATGATAAAGGTTCACGGGGACACGCATCTTATGTGATGTAAGATCTTTTACCAATTGTGCTATTCGTGCATCCGTCGATTTTACACTTTCTAGTGCTGTTAGTAGAGAAAAGGTGTCTGTATATATGTTAATCTGTAATTTCGGTGTGTGTAGTACTAAATAATTTACTGCCTCTTGTAATGCTAATATTTCTGTACAGTGTGCACTGCTTACGTTAAGTATTTCAAATTGGGCAACTTTAAGTATTTTTTGTTTGTAATTTAAAATTATATATGCTGCTCCAGCAGCACGAGACGTGTAGGAGCCATCGGTATAGACGTGCAGAGAGCGTGAACCTTTCACAATCTTGATCTCGTGTAGTGTTAGTTAAGTATATAAATATGAACATGCTCGATCAGCCGGGTGGTCCTGCCACGGGTCTCTTGAATATTGAATATTATTAGGTATGTAATAATTGGGACCGTAGCATGTGGGCTGTCTTCTAACGAATAGAGAAAACTCGGCGCAAAGGCGCTCAAGCTCCAACTCTATCGGAAGTGCCCTTGTTATGACCTGCAAAGCTGCTGTTCTAGTTGTGCGGTACGCGCTAGTTAATGCAATTAATGGCAATCGGTGTACGGAAATGATCTTTTCCTTAAGAATTGCATCGGGAGGATAAATTCTTGTAGAGCGTTTTTGCGCGTCATCCTTCAATTGCACGTACGCCCCAGACCACGGCGTCGGACTCGACCGCGGTGACCCAGAGGTCCTCCGTCTCAACCTCGATGTCTGTGATCGCTTCCAAGGCGACGCGGCTTGGGGACGAGTTCGCGAGTACGCTCAAACTGCCGCAAATTGGCCGTCCTGTGTCGTGATGGTAACTCCCGCGCACCTGAAACGCTAAATCGGCCCCTATAGCGGCTCACTCGTCGCAGTCATCACATTCTTCCCCCCTGTTTTATGGGAAGTAAGGGGGTTTACTCAATGGGCCCCGGTCATCGGACGCACTCAAGACAACCTGATAAGACGAAGACGTTCTTCATATCTGACGAGGACAAGAACACACACGAAGAAATCTCACAATGACAAATAGAAAGTCTACAAAAAAGTTTCTTTTGCGCGAGGAGAAATTCTACGTTGTTATGGTCAGCATGCTTCGCTCCCACGACACCAAGTCTAGAAAACCACACTCACGCGCGCCGTCGTTGCGGTGACCTCAGCACCGGGCAACGTGGCGTTGTGTCCATCGCAGTAGCGTCCACGGTGAGACACGCCTTCTCGTGTAGCGCGCTGGCTCGAGCTTAAGTCGTTGTCCCGCACCATGACGTCTTGTTGACGTTCAGGTCACGCTCGACTGAAGTGAGCGCCCAGGACACGGGGTCGAAAGCCCCGACAACCATCGAAGCCGGTTGCGTACGTTCGCTCCGAGACCAGAACAGCGGCTGGCCGTGAAGAACGTTGCTTCGGGCCATCCCGGGGTGAGGTGGGGCGATGCCCAGTCCAGAACGCACCCGAGAACTTCAACGCCGAGACGAGGCTCGGACACCGAGGGTCAGAACAAGCAGTCGGGGCGTGGGCCGAACTTGTTCTTGCGCTCTGCTCTCTGAGCTTAGCCGAGCTGTTCCCGTGGCTCGGGAGCCTGTCTAGTCTTGTCTTGTCGCCTAGGAGATCTTGGCTCATAACCACATGGGGGATTGGCCACACTGTACCTTATAATAGATATATTTTTACAACTCTTGCTAAAAAAAGAAAGAGAAATTAGTTAAGAAACCTTCGTTTATTTTTTATTTCAATAAAATAATAATAATGTTCCTTTGCAAAAACGTGAAAAAAGTGCTGAAGAATTCGATAAACCTGAATATATAAAACAAATTAACAAGAATGAGGAAGGGGGACAAAGAATTGGATATAGCTGGCAGTACCACTAGCAGCGTATCCTCCCGGTTGCCTGAATGAATTTATGTAGCGCTGACAGAATAGCACTGCGGCCCACTCCCAACTGACTGGCTCCAAACGACAATAGGGTTGATGTATTGACTGGCAATCCGAGCGTACCAATCGGTCTTTCAAGAATTATTCGGCACAGTGTGGCGAAGCGGCGGCATGTGAGAAGAAAGTGATCTATTGTTTCCGGTTCATTGCAAACTGCACATAGGTTATAGTTAATGAAAATCCTGATTTCTTGAGATAAAAATTTAACCGAGGAACTCTACAGCGAAAGCTTGTGAGGGTCACCTCACATTGACGGGAAGGGCATTTTGCGGTGTTCCATGTGAATTGCAAGTGCCGAAATTCTTCAGATTGTAGGAGGGACGTTTCGTTGATTTTTAAGATTAACAGGCGTTTGAATTGTTCGGCAGTAATAAAAGGAAACTGTGGAGCTACTAGCACCACCGGGAAATTTAAAGATGCTGAAGCGAGCGAATCAGCAATTTAATTTAGTACAATTCCAGCATGCCCGGGGACCCAAATAAACCGAACTTCTGATAGGCTATGCAGTACGAGAGACCAAAATAATCTGAGAAGAGGAGACTGCTTTGCGGACGTTAGATGTGTGCATACAGACAAAGCATCCGAAATAATAATAGCTTTTGATTGGTGATAATTTAGTTTTCGAAGAGCCAATGTAATAGCCAGGAATTCTGCGAGATAAATTGGTGTGAAGTCAGGCAATCGGAGCGCAAAAGACCAATTAAGCTGATGAGAAAAAATACCTACTCCAGCCTTCTGAAGATTTTGCGTTGCATCCGTTGAAATTACTACGTATTTGGGAAAATGACTGAAATGGTCTTGAAGGAGGCCCTCCAGAACATGCTTTGGAAGTAACTTGGCATTTTTCGGGAAAATATCATCGAAAATTAAGTCAACTGGCACCGAGCTCGGGAGCTTTTTACGAGGTACGCGCACGAGCACGCGCATAGGCAAGCTTCATCATTTCACCGCTATCACCATCATGGTAATTCCCTCACACCTGAAACGCTAAATCGGCCCCGCACACCGATCGCAAATAAATCGGCCCCTACGGCTCACTCGTCGCAGTCATCACATTCTTCCCCCCTGTTTCAGAAAGCTGCACGCACTTTGGCTGCTACTGTTGAACTAGTCCACAGAGCGTGCAACTTGACAAAGCCGAAGGATGTAAAGGTGGTATCAGATAGACACTTTGGTTGCTTACATTCATACGGTGCAATGTCTGCCCGGATTGAAGTTCAGGCGCACAAGTTCGAGACGGAGTTGCACCATTGTTGTAGGCTAGAATGTCCAAGTGTTTCACCGGCACTTAGAGAGCACTTCAAGTTACACTCAAAGGTTTACCGGCATAGAAGCGCACTATTTGCAGCATTTCTTCCGATATCACATTGAATATATTGTCTACGTTTTACCAAGGAACATGTCTTGCGCAGATTTGACGTGAGGCTATCTCAAAAGTGGAGAGTGATTCAACTTATTTTCATGTCACGATACCTAGAGCCGAAAGTGGGCATCACAAATGTATACATACAATTGGAGCACAGGTCAGTTCCGTGTCAGTGCACCAGCTTTATAGGCCGATTCTTTTTTTTTCCAAGTGCTCGCGCAGAACCAGCGTTCTTCTTTTCGGCTAGCTCCTGGGTGACGCGGAGCCCTGTAGATGCTAAGATCCAACCACCAGTACTCAACCATGAAATCTGTACCTGAGAATCCGGCTGGGTGGTACCCAAAGCACGGGAAGCTTCCTCTGGATGGATGCTGATCTGTTTCTAAGTGGTACCAATAGCCATATATTGGGCTCATGGCGTTCCTAACTGCTGTAGTGTTTTGGGGGTTCAGGTCTTTCTTGCCGGACCTTTTCCCTTGCGGCTCTATTTCAGGAATGTCGTCAGGAACTTCCTTTAACTTGAGCTTCTGAACGATCATTTCAGCCGGCAAGGTGGTCGTCTGACTCGGGCCTAACATACACTCTGCTGGCGTGCTTTCGCGAAGTACACAAGCTTCCTGCACGTCAACTGTACCATGGTTACTGGCTGCGCTTTCCTTCACATCACTCCTGCTACCACGACCACTTGGCGGTTCTGAAGTCACAGACTGAGATCTCTTTGCAACAGTGTTAGTTTGACTAACAGGTCCTAACAGAGGAAGGCAAAGACTAACACTGCGAAGTGTGTTGTCACCACATGTCCGCTTCGCAACTGTAGTTGCAGACTGTGTATCTGGAGCAACAACGTCAAGTTCTTCATCATTCACGTTTTCGCGTTTCCGCGAACCAGTGATATATGTCTCGTATTGGTGAGGTTTTACCCTATTCAGCTCATTAGCCTCATTACGTGCTGCTTTGCGTCTTGCAATCTTTCGTATGTCTGAGATAGCCGTGCGTATTTCCGACAGTAGCTTCTCTCCTTCCCGTCTTACATGCTCATAGTCATTATCATTTTTGCATATGTACTGCAGTTCGAAATGAATCCTCTCGCGTTCCGCTTCGAGGTCTTCTCGCAACATTCGCTCTAAATCGGATCAAAACCAACCGACCTCCTCTCCAATACAAAGCAGTCTTTGCACGTTAACAGGCATCTTGAGCGTGACGGATTTTCGGCTTGAAGATGGTAAGTGCCGATCCTGGCAGGCTCGCCATAGACCGATCCCACCAGCCGATCAGCGCATGCGCCGGTTTTCCGGAGTTGCCCCGCCGCCATCTTAGTTGTAGTCAATCGGTCAACCAGACTAAGCGACTACGCAGTGGCCGCCGCTTTTTCAGTACTGCGCCGGAGCTTCGCGGACGTCTCTCCGATTTCACCAGCAAGAAAAAGTCGTCATGTGAGTATTTTCAATACCTACATTGTCTGTTAATGGGAGCAGGCGGCGCGAATTTCGGTCATAAGTGCCTGCTACTCCTTCGTTTCGGCGGGACTTAGGACAGCCACCCGTTCATTGCCTGTTGAGTACCGTTTTCATTTGAGTGATGTATGTAAGCGGTTGTTCTGCGCGGCTGTTTTTTTCGCATGTGCATCTCGGGGATTGCAACGTTTGTTTGCACAGTGACGTGCTGTTGGGGACAGGCTTTATATGCGGCGCCGAACCTTTCGTGTCTTACGGCACTTACGTGCACGAGTGTCGCGTTCAACATACAGCATTTGGTAGTAATAATATTTGAAATTCTTAATTTGGGTGGCGTCACCTACTGAACATCACCTACTGCGTTTTCAGGTTCCTTTTAAATGTCCAGTCTGCATGCTACCACTGCAAGACAACAGTATCACTTTCTCTTGATTAACGTACAAAAAGTTCCATATCAGTCAAGGGCAAATGACAAATGTAATTTTAATTTTCAGCCTCACTCGACAACGCCACACACAGGTAAATTATACAGCTGTTTGTGCCACTCATCTGCATAGGTGCAGCGAAATCGGCCGCGTGCATGCACCAGATAACTATTTTACGGAAAGGACGAGATTACAGAGGCACCGTTTGCATCGAGGGTGATCCGCGAAAGCTAATCGCCGTTTGGCACAACGAGTTCTGGGTAAGTTGTTGCAAGCGTGCCGTGAAGTACGTTACGTCGTTTCTAAAAAGTAAGGTCTCGATGTACGGTAGAGCTATTAGGATAGCCTCGTCAATGAGCTTGCCTTCCCCTTATGCCTGCATGCTTGCCACTTGCGTTGTAAAAAAAAAAACGCAAGCCGCGTACGCGGTGCTGCACTTGCG